GGCATGCTAACCAATGCGCAATGTATGCTGAACCGGGGAGGATATTTTGAGGCTAGGATTCTACACTAGGTTGAGCAACATAAAGCCCCATCTCTATATGAATGTTTTGAAAATTAGAGTGTGTGGTGTTCACCTACCAGTGACTCTGAGGCAGCAGGGCTGATGGAGCACAGGCATTCGAGGCTATAGTGAGCTATGACCATACCACTGCACTTTAGACTGAGAGACAGAATGAGACTCTTTCGCTAAAGGAAAACAATGTACAAGAAAAGACAGTTTCACATAAGAAAACAGAAGTTGGTGGCTTTGGAGAGATTTGGGTTAGAGGTTTTAAGGTAAACGTTTGGCAAAGGGAGATATGGAACCACTAGAAAGAACAAATTTAGGGATGTATCTTACTGAAACAGTCCTGCTACCAGAAGAATGAATGGTGCTGCATTGTCCAGCAGAGGGTACTGCAGGCACGTTTTCATCAAAATGAGGTCTATATGGTATTATATTAGTGAGTAAACAGGTAATCTGTAAGAGGCATTTCCATGGAAGCAAAAGAAAAACGTAGATAAAGGCCTAGAACAGTCTCCAGACTAGTGTGAGAGTCTGGAGGGCAGTCAGCCAAAGTTTCTTGATTTCAAAGCATATGCAGTTGGAATAAAAGTAAGCAGTGCCAACCAGATAGACTTGTCTTGATTGCCATTTGTATTAGATATTCCAGAATTTTTTGTCGAAAAATAATTCGTGTGTGAATTCCCCAGGAATGGCGTCTCCCTCTTGCTCAGCTAGGATTATAGGCATGAGCCACCACGCCTAGCTGTCAGTTCTCTTTTGAATCCCACTGCTTTTTCAGTTGATTCAGCAACAGCAAATAAATACTTGCCATTTTTGATACTTTCTGTGAGGGAAGCTAGTGCCAGGTACTTCAGGTCTACCTCTTGGATCCTCCCCACAAATTGCTTGTTCTTCTTGAATCTTTGTATCTCCTTGATACAAAGTAACGATATGTGGCCCATTAAGGTTTCTTTTTCCTTCTGTTTTTTTTTTTTTTTTTTTGAGAGAGTCTCACTTTGTCAGCCTCCCTAGTGTTCCGTGGCATCATAGCTCATAGCAATGTCAAACTCTTGGGTTTAAGAGATTATCTTGCGTCAGCCTCCCAAGTGCTGAGACTATAGGCATCTGCAAAAATGCCTGGCTATTTTTTATTTTTGTTGTAGTTGTCATTGTTTGAGCAGGCCCGGGCCAGGTTTGAAACCACTAGCCCTGGTGTATATGGGTGTCGCACTAACCAGGGATCAACCAGTGCCCAGGTCTTGCTCTTGCTCGGGCTCTCTTTAAACTCCTGAGCTCAAGTGATCCTCCCACCTTTGCCTCCCAGAGTGCTGGGATTAGAGCCGTGAGCCTCCGTGCTTGCTCTCACATTTTCAACAGTCATATCTTCAGGTGACTTATGTATATGGAATGTAGTGTGCTATGAAAATGAGAAAAATTCAGGTCTTTCCTAACCAAGTTGGAGGATTTCAGGAGAGAACACTCACTCTTATTTTAAAAAGTCAAACTGTATTCTGTACCATTTAAATATTAGCATCTTTTATACCTGAGGGTTCCCTCTTCCTAGTCTGCTCATCTGGTTGGCTAACAGCAATGCCTGATGCTCCCTCCTTTGGCACCAGTTGTAGTTTTAAACTAAATGGGGATGCTCCACTTCTACCCCAACCTAAAACATAATAACACTCTGCACATGACAGTTCCTCTCAAGCTCCTATCAGGACCTACTGGTGTTGGGGGGACTCATCTGCTTTCCTCAGAAAGCCTCACAGTATGATACAAATTCTCACACCTCTTCCGTGTATAGTATCCTTGTCAATATCCCAACCAAAGGTTAGGTGCATGTGAACAAGCAAGGTCCAGGGAGTGAAAACTATAACCCGGGGACAGTGTTATGAAGAGTGGATATAAATGGTTTCTCGTTTATCCAGTAAAAAAAATTCCCATTTTCAGTGCTGATTCTTAAATCACCTTAAATAAAGTACTGTAAGGAGAAAAAAGAAATAGTGTCATTCTCATCAGTATTGCCCACATATTCCT